GCCGGCAGGAAACCCCTGGCAGCAGGCACAAGTCAGTAGTGTCGCAAGCACAAGAGGGGACTGGAACTCTGATCTGGTTGACTCAGAATAACCCCCCACCAGCCCTTGCAGATGAAACAGGGAATTTGCCAATGAAAATCCATTTCCCTGAAGTTCTCCCAACTGCTCATTTCCACATTCTGCTTCAGCTTTCATACAATGTAAAAGCCACTTCCAGAAAACTAATGGAACATAGTGCACGCTTGGTATTAATTTCCTGATTCAAGAAAAAATAATATCTGTTTGCGACCCCCTTAATTCGGAAAGTTGCAGGAGTAAAGTGATGAAATTGGGGGCGGGATACCGCCATGCAGTTCTTCTCTGCTGTTTTCATGGGGAGGGGTATTATTTGAAGAACCAACCCAGTATACGGAACATAGCAATGGGATCCATTCCAGATCAGCTCACAATTAAGAACTTTGGAAACGGATCGAGAGACAGGCCCCCTGCAGAAAATGTTGCATAACTTCAAAGATTTTCTGCAACATCAGTTCGCTCAAACAAATTTGGATGCCGTAATTTCAACGCACTGAACGTTTTATGGCTTATCAGTGTTTATTTTATTTCATGCATCTCAAATATTTTCCAACTCTCTCTTTTCGTTTGAAATGTTTTTGTGTTTTTTAATGAAATCTTTCATCTTGTGTTTATCTCCCTCCAACGTGGTGTGGCGACTCTTTCCACAAGGTGTACGTATCGTAACACAAATGCTCTTTCCCTCCCAGATTGCCCCAAAGTAGAAGTATTTATGCCACAGTTGAGTTGGCCCTTACCTCCATGATAGGACTGGAAGCCAGAACTTTCTCTTCAATATTGGTTTCGCTGGAGGAGCCTCCAACAGATGCGAAGTAGCGCATGGCATATTTGGCAGAGACGGTTTTGCCGGCACCAGACTCCCCGCTAACAATAATGGACTGGTTCTTCTCATCCCTGTATGAGGAAGAATGAGGCAGGTGTTACATTTAACCTCTTAACATTGCTCTCTTTTCTTGGCCGGCTCATATCACTTCATATTGTCTGCCTCCCATCTGAGTTCCATTTACCTGGAATGGGCCAATGGCTCTTTCATTCCATGTAAAGAGTAGAATTGATATCGCAAGGATCTAAACTTCTCAGTTATTTGAAACTTGGTTTATTTATTTCAAAATGTGTCCTGCCTTCCTAAAATGTTAAAGGTAGGAAATGGAGGAAAAAAGAGAGCATATTTGCATGCGTGAGCACAAACAGACAGAGCTGTTCGCCTCTACATAGTTCCATCCTTATTTCAGACATTGTGATATATCAATATATTGCAATGTTTAGCTGGTGATATATCGTGATGTTGAAAACCTGATATCTCCCAGTCCTAACAGCTGGTCCAAGACATTTTGCCACCTGAGGTGAAGAAGAAGATGGTGCTTCCCCATTCCTTTTACAAAGGTGACCAGACTGGTATCTGCATCTTATTTCAGCACTAGAAATTAACCACACTCTTGAAATTGGGAAGGGAACCATGTACACCAGTTTGAGATCCTTGGAAGATGGTACATAAGGTGGTACATAAATGTTATAAATAAATCAATCCCTATTTTTGCAAGCCTGCTGGCATACATTGTTTCCCTCACTTTTGTTCTGCATCTTTAATTATTACTATTATTTTTTTAAAAGGACCATCCCAGCCAATGAGGGATCACACAGCGAACATGTTCACTGCATGGTGCCATAGTCATGTGGTTGGCCACTGTGTGAAGAGGGCGCTGGACTAGATGGGCCATTGGGTTGATCCTTCAGGCTCTTCTTCTGTTCTTAATTAACCCATTAATGTTTAATGTGCTACTAATCCGAAGTGCAACTAATCAATAGATGGTTTTGGTCGTTCTTTATTGCACTTAATTGCTTTGATGTTGTTAGTTGCTTTCATGATCAATATGGAAAGAAGGAGCAGAAGTGACTGAAATAAATAAAAATCTTAAGCAGCAAAATTCCAGATCTTAAAAATACTTGAACAATGTTAAGAATCTTGTCGGTGGGAGGGAGGAAAGGGACTCATTTTGAGGTGACAGAGGATTCACTGCACTCAGTAGCTCCTTATACCTCCTTGTGATTAGCAAACCCAGAAATATGCAAAATAAGCAAAAATGCAAAAACATATTTAGTCTGCATGATTAAAGCAGCTCTCTGAGCTTTGCTTATGACCGGCGGGAAGCTGTGGTACCTTATTTATTCAGATTTAGAGACCACCCTACACCACATAGCATGAGACTATTCAAATATTATATTAACATATCATTAAAAGTCTCCTCTTTTCTGCTAGCTTAAACCTGATCCTGAATCAACAACTCAGAACAGATAGTACAGAATTATGATTCTGTCAGTGCGACGGAAGCACAACCCAAGCTTTAATCAGAACCAAGTTGCTTGTGCCTCGTTGAACATCCCCAGAACAGAAACCACAGATTGGCTGGAAGTTAATTTACTGCAAGAACCCTGTGAGGTGGGTTAGGGCTGAGTGGCCCAAGGTCACACACTGAGCTTCACTGCAGGGCAGGATTTGAACTCGGATCTCCAAGGTCCTACCCAAACACTCTAGCCTCTATGTCACACAGGCACACTCTCTGCCTTCCTCCTGCCACCTCATCATTGGTACTGACTGCATTTATGGCCTAGGGACGCGAGTGGCACTGTGGGTTAAACCACAGAGCCTAGGACTTGCCGATCGGTGGTTCGAATCCCCACGGCGGGATGAGTTCCCGTTGCTTGGTCCCTGCTCCTGCCAACCTAGCAGTTCGAAAGCACGTCAAAGTGCAAGTAGATAAATAGGTACTGCTCTGGCGGGAAGGTAAACGGCATTTCCGTGCACTGCTCTGGTTCGCCAGAAGCAGCTTAGTCATGCTGGCCACATGACCCAGAAGCTGTATGCCAGCTCCCTCGGCCAATAAAGCGAGATGAGCGCCGAAACCCCAGAGTCGGCCATGACTGGACCTAATGGTCAGGGGTCCCTTTACCCTTTACCTTTACCTGCACTTATGGCTGCCCCTGTCTTTCCTCCCATGGATTTGTTTGGATTTATTTGTTGCCCCCAAGATGGACTACAAGGCTGTGGTTGCCAATGAAAAAAGGGGAGGGGAGGCTGCCTGTTTCCCACCTCCTCCCTTGATTTCAACAGCTCTAGACCAAGTGAATGAGGCTTGTAGGTCTGAGTGTGTGGAGGAGGAATAGCCACACAGCCTCTGCCCTGCCTTGTGGAGGCTGGCTCTTCCTGGTGAGCAGCGTTAGAAACTCAGATATATAATATAGGACCCATATCACTCCTTAAACCAAGGTTGCAGTCGCCAAAACTGAAGGTCTAGTTGCCATTTTGGAGCAAGACAGCTCCTGTTTTTCTAAGGACGGACTGACTACTTTGATTCTCAATTAAACGCCTGGCTAGTTCAGATGACAACCTTGAGCCAGGTTAAGAGCTTTGAGAACTTACTGTATTTTTCGCTCTATAAGGCGCACCCGACCATAAGACGCTCCTAGTTTTAGAGGAGGAGAACAAGAAAAAAATAATTCTCTCCCTCTCTGCACAGAGCTTCTCCAGCAAAGTGGGAGGAGAAATGGAAGCTTTCCCTCTCTGCTCAGCGCCCCTTCAGCGAAGCAGGAAGGTGCTCAGAAGGCTTTGGGCGGCTATCCCTGAAGCCAGGAGAGCAAGAGGGATCGGTGCGCACTGATCCCTCTTGCTCTCCTGGCTTCAGCGAAAGCTGCACAGCCTGCATTCGCTCCATAAGACGCACACACATTTCCCCTTCCTTTTTAGGAGGGGAAAAGTGCGTCTTATAGAGCGAAAAATACGGTAAAGAAGAAAAGCCCCTTGATCCAGGGACAGTGCATATATATTGGCCTATTCCAACCTCTCTTTCTTAATACATCCGCTGAGGCTGACAGAAAGGGCAATTTGTTTCCACTGATTCATTCCGATTGTACAGATAAAATATAACTGATAAGAATTCTACAGCATGGGGTATTACTGTGTGGAAGCAGTCCAGATCCAATGATCCTCATATGGTGGAGATATCAGGCACCATCCTTCAACCCAGGCATCTTCACTTGGTCACAAGTGGTTGAAAACCAGGTGAAAAATGCGCCTTGCGCCTGGCTAATTTCAAACACTGCTGGTAAGGGGACAATGGCTGTCGGTTCTCTTCAGTTATTCCTCATTGCTCAAGATCTAGGCCGCCAGGCAAGTCAATCCTGAGATTCAGGCCCAATGTGGATGAAATTTTGCTCTCTCTCTTTTTTTAATAAAGGGTTTGGGGCTCTAGGGGCTGAATAACAATGGAAGGAATGAGTGGGGGGTTCTCAGCCCATCGCCTTCTCATTCCTCCACTGTGGACCCGATGCTTCAAGATGGCTCTGCCCGGGTGTAGGCCTCTTTCAGCAAGCAGCAATTGCACCCAGAGCCTCACTGGACATCTCCCTCCCATAGATCTATCCGAGCTCTCCATTTGGCTCCAGACTTGCCGGGACTCACACGAAGGTAGGTGCCTCTGCCTTTGAGCGCTAACAGCCTTCTAGGCAAAACATGCTTCAAGACTCACTGCCCTGGAGAAAATGTAAGATTTGCCATCTACTCTTATAAGCATCATACACAGAGGGCGATTTTTAAAAGAAAGACTGCATGCATTAGAGAACAGAGTGGACTCTGCAGAGTTTCCAAAGATACCATGTGCTCCTTTGAGTCATGGGGAATCCCAAGACTGACAGTCACTGTCTGCTGTCCAAAGTACCCCACCCATTATTTCCAGATGGGACTTTTTGTGAATCAATCTCCAACATCCCAGGATGAATTCCGCTGCCATGCACCATTTAACACTTTGATTTTAAACCAGATGTGTTCCAAGTACCGTATTTTTTGCTCTATAAGACGCACTTTTCCCCTCCTAAAAAGGAAGGGGAAATGTGTGTCCGTCTTATGGAGCGAATGAAGGATGCACAGCTATCGCTGAAGCCAGGAGAGCAAGAGGGATCGGTGCGCACTGATCCCTCTTGCTCTCCTGGCTTCAGCGATAGCCACGCAAAGCCTCTTGAGCACAGCCGGAGCGCTCCTGCCTCTTCGCTCAGGAAGCTTTGCGTTGCTTTCTTGTTTCTTGTTTTCCTTCTCTAAAAACTAGGTGTATCTTATGGTCGGGTGCGTCTTACAGAGTGAAAAATACGGTAAGTTTCAACCAGAGGTTCTTCTCTTATTGAAGGGGTGGGGGTGGGGAAAAAAGAAAATGGACCCATGATAGCTACTCTTCACTCTGCTGATATGGCAGCGGAAGAGAAATCTAAGCCACATCAGACAGGCAGGTAGAATGAAACAAGGAGGAATAGGCAGGACAATTACCCCACACCCAGAATGAAGACTCAACGCTCAAGCATTTGGTTAAAGGTTATATTTATTACTATAAACAAATAACAACTTGTGCCAAGCAAACCCAACAAGTGCAGGAGGTTATAATTTGTACATGCAGGAGATTTACTGCCTCCTTCCAAGAGCCAAACCACCCAAGAGAAGCTCCATCGCTTACACAAGTGTGATGGTGCCTCTCCCCCAAAAGAGAAGTTGGGGGGTGACCTGACCTTTCCAAGCCACAACCCCCCCCCACTGTTCAGCATTCAGCAGGTGGCACACAACAGGTCCCAAGAGCACAAACCCAAACCCTCTGCCCCCCAGCTGAACCCACAAAAAGAGGAAGAGCTTGAGGGAGGAGCTTCCTTTATACAGGAGGCTTGCTCCCCAAGCCTACCAGCCCAAAGAGGCTGCATCAAACTTGAACCAGGGGCCATGTGGAGAATCCCTCACCCGCTCCCTTTTGGAGCAGACCTTGTGAGCCTTCCTCCTAAAAGCAGGTGGGGTAAATTCACCCCAACGAAAGCCTGGAAGTGGCATCGCCAAATCTGCACAATGCTACCAAATGGGAGAGACAGATTGTAAGCATTCTCCTACCTGTGCAGAACAGAAAGCAATGTTTCCACATGATGATTCCTGTGGTTGTTCTAGCATATAAACTTGCACCCCACTCTTCTAAATCCCACATACCTATGGGACCGACTCTCCTGGTATGCCCCGCGGAGGACCTTAAGGTCCACAAATGACAACACCTTGGAGGTCCCAGGTCGCAAGGTGGTTAGATTGGTCTCAATCAGGGCCAGGGCCTTTTCAGTACTGGCCCCGACTTGGTGGAATGCTCTGTCACAAGAGACTAGGGCCTGCAAGACAGAGCTGTTCCGCCTGGCCTTTGGTTTGGACTCAGTCTGACCCTTATGTTGCCCTCCCCTTATGGTCATGATCTATCAGCTACTTTTAAAATGAGGCTGCATTTTAAATTGCATTTAAACCTGTATTTTAAATTTGTTTCCCGCCCCCCCCCCATTATGTTTTTACTGTGATTTTATTGGTGTTAGCCACCCTGAGCCCAGCTCTGGCTGGGTATAAAATAAAAATTATTATTATTATTATTTTGCATGCTGGCAAGTGTTTTGTCTTGAAGCCTCAGAAGGCCTTTCCAATTGCTGTGACTTAAGGAAAGGTCAACTTCCTGCAACTGTTTCAGGGGTCAAACCTTAAATACGGAGACGAACAACAGGAAGCCACACAAGCCAATCTAGTCGCCAACAGCTTCTCATCTGAAGCCAGTCCCAAGCCATCAGACGGGCCAAAGAGAGAGGTGATTGCTCACTAACTCCCATATTCCAATAGAAGTAAAGGCTCTGTCGGGGTCGCATCTGAGTCACATATAGGGCCAGGATACTTTAAGGACCGCACGTCTCCTTATCTGCCTAAAACCTTCAAAAGAGTGCCTACTCAGTGGTGGACCCTGGACTATGCAACACTCGCTCTACCCAGAACTTACCTAGATGGCATTTAGATGCCAGGCCAAGGGCTTTAAAAACATAAAATTATACGCTGACTGGAGACTTTTAGGTTGCTGCTTTTATGTTGCTGGTGTTTCTTTTTAATTATGCTGTTTTACACTGTTCTTTAATATTGTTGCTTTCATGTTTATTTTTAATTTGCTTTGTTGCAATGTGAACTTTTGGTAAGTCCTGGGAACCTGGTGAAAAGCAGGAGGAAATCAAGTCAAACAGATCAACCAACTTCCCCCTACCCTCCCATCACAGTGGGTGATTTTGTATTTTTGCTCACAGCTGACGGGAAGGAACAGAAAGTCATTTGCTGCTGCCGGCATAGGTCTGGATGGGTGAAGTCAAACTAGTCCCTCTTACAACTAACGCTTCAGTTCTCCGAAAAACACCAAAGCTGCAAAGATTTTTATTTATTACTTGTACTCCAGGAGAGATTGCATGCGTTTGCTACACAATTTGGTGCACTGCTCCCCAAGACCCCATATAAAAACCCCTCTGACAGCCACATCAACAAGCTTAAGGAACACTGGAAAACCCTCCATCATCCTTCCCTTAAATTATGTAGGATAGAGATGGATCTATGGGTAGCAAACCGCTATTGTTCTGCACAAAACAGCAAAAAACAAATCAGAGCACAGACACTTCATGCTCTTCTCATTGCAATAAAAAGCTTGATGATGCATTACTACTACATATTGGTCCAGGTTAAGCATTACAGCAGTTATCAATAAAGCAGTTGTCCTATATGGAGAGCATAGCTCAATGGCGAATGTGGTACTTTAAAGAGAGGAATAAGAACTGTGTCCTGTTCTCCCCACCCCACTCTGTGATATTTCACTATAGGTCAGATGACAAGAGTACCCCCAGCTGCAAAAAAACAAAAACCCACTGCAGTAGACAGAAACAGACAAAAGGACGCACTTCTTCACACAATGCATTAATTGAACTTGGGGAGTTCACTGCCACAAGATGTGGCAATAGTCTCTAAACTTAGGCAATGCTTTTTAAATTCCTAAAGGGTAAGCTGACCAAAAGGAATCAGCCATAACAATGGGCTCCTGCAACAAAATGCGGCTGAGCATTCTCACCTAGCAGAAACGCTCCTGTTCAGGGTTCCAGCCAGCCATGTGCTCCTGCAAGATACTCTATTGCATGTTTTTCATTCCACACCAGTATTTCCATTGCTGAGGTCAAACAAGAGGTGACGGCCACCCATCACTTTCTTTCCCTGCTTATGGGCTTGCCTTGGCAGAAAAGCAGAATATTTGGCTAGGTGAAATGTCCACATAGCACAAAACACTTTAAAAAGGACAAAAAATATATTCAGCAACTGTCAAGCCCCCATGTGAGGAATATAAAATTCCACCTCTCCAGCTAGTGACCCAAGAGAGAGATGAGGTTCCAAATACTGTATTTTTTGCTCTATAAGACTCACTTTTTCCCTCCTAAAAAGTAAGGGGAAATGTGTGTGCGTCTTATGGAGCGAATGCAGGCTGTGCAGCTATCCCAGAAGCCAGAATAGCAAGAGGGATTGCTGCTTTCACTGTGTAGCAATCCCTCTTGCTGTTCTGGCTTCAGAATATTTTTTTTCTTGTTTTCCTCCTCCAAAAACTAGGTGCGTCTTGTGGTCTGGTGCGTCTTATAGAGCAAAAAATATGGTGCTTGCAAACCCACTCCCACCCCCCCCAATTGCAGGTAGACCAAGCAATACCAAGGAAACTCAAATCTGGATGCAACAAGTTTTCTAGATCTGCCAAATTCAGGAACACAGCTGTCAATCTTCTCTGCACATTTCCCCCCCTAAGTGCACACCCGCTAAGGCACACTATACATATATACAAGGAATCCCTGTGGACAACGAAAGTGATAAAAAGGCCCAGCAAACACCATTTGCTGCTAATGCAATCAGCCTGCTTTCTTTCCCCTCCCTCCCGTTTCACAAAAGATTTGCCTGAACAGCTGACCCCTTGTTTGTTCAGAAGCACTCAGCTGGGTGCTTCAGACCTAGCCAAGTTTACAATTTGGATTTGAATGGCCAGTTTTAAGACATGAATCACAGAATACAATGGTGCCAGCATTCTCAGCCTTCCGCAGGATTTTGAGGAGTCCTGGGCCTTTGGTGACGGCCATCTCCCCCATGCATACTGCTGCCTGGGCTCCCAGTGGCAATGCTGCAATGAGGAGGGCATAAGGAATGCATGAAGCAGCCCTCACAGATCAAACGTCATTGCTAGAGCATGTGTGTCGCTGCCTGATACAACCTCTGGCAGTGTACTCTTTGCAATGTGCCCCATTCACACACTCAAGCACGAATCATCGTGACAAGACATAGAGAAGAGTTTATGTGGAATGGGCAATACAAGATTGCATACTGTTGTAAACAAAAATTGCCCTTTTCCCTTATGGGGTATCCAAGAGCCCATAGAGAGTCCTTACATAGGTTCCCTATTGGTAGGAGAGAATAACAGAAGCCAACCAGAGAATATTGAGAAGCAAAGCAGCTAGTAAGCTTGATCTTTATTGATCTGTTGCAACAGGGTGCTCCCCTCACACGCAGGAAAGGAGGAGGACCCTGAAAAATGGTGTGCAAGGCCTTATAAAGACTTTTGAAATTCCCACCCTGTAGATCAAGACCACCCCCAGAAACATCATACATACATCACAGAAGGGGTGTAACCTAAGACCACCCCTCAGACGCATCACACCTACATCACAGAAAAGGCGGCCTAAAACAGAAATTTGAATATTGTTTTTCTCCTGTTGTTGTTGTTTATCTCCTGTCTGGCAGGTTACTTGATTGGATTTCCTGGGGAGCCTGGCCAGTCTTTTGTAATGATAAATACTTAGTTCCTGGACCAGGTCACAGGCTCACACCCTATTCATATCTAAAATATGCCCTTAAGACAGGATTTGTGAGGAAAGAGAGAATGGGAGGTTTCCCACTTTGACCTTGCAGAGAAAACATTGGCTCAGTTTAGGAATCAAAATGGTTCCAGGTTGGCCTTCCTGTGCTGATCTATGTACGTGCTTGGTTGGCACACTTATGAACATTACCATATATCTAAGACCATAACATTCCTATCACAATAGCCACTTTGTCCACTTGGTTTAGAGAAAAGAAAACTTTGAGGTGACACGATAGAAGGGTCTCTTCCAGTTCTACAATTCTACGATTCAAGGTCCCGTGCAGCTCTTCTCCTAAACCCACCAAACCCAAGAAAAGCAGGAAAACTGGACAAAGCAGGATAAATCATGGGACATTTGCGGTACTTAAATTTATGTGACCTGCACAAGCTGCGGAATTCAACTTCTCTCACTACAGAATGTTCATCTCATGCTTCTCAAACCCACTCTTTTCCAAGTAACACAAAGTTACCAAGTTAAACACGACTGATGGCTTTGTTAGCAAGAATAATAACAGAAATTATCTTTCCCGCACGCAGCTAGGAGCTGCCCTCTCACGGCACAGGAGAGCAAAGAGATCAAACGTCCACTTACTGGTAATAGCTTCAACTCCTGCAGCTGGGCAAAGGTGAGAGAGGGGGCTCCCTTACTCTCACGCTAATCTTCGAGGCAGAAAATAACCTTTCCAGATGTCTGCAATTTAATTGATGCCACTAGCTCATGGATAGGCTAATTAAAAAGGTTAATGATGCTTCTTTGTATTCCTACCTTGCAAGCACGTTCTTTCTAGCAAGGGCAAGGGCTCTGTCCCATGGATCTCCAGTCTTTCATTCCCAATTTTGTAAAAATATATATTATTATTTTTTTGCAAAATGCTTCATAGACCATAAGACTTCAGATCCACCATTTTTTATTGAAGATAAAGAAATGCTCATCTTAACCCGCTTACCCTTACCCCTTACTTTAGACTACTGAAGCAGTCAAAACGCAGCTGCTCACCTATGTGGAGCAAGAATTAACCTGCAGGTGACCAGACATGGAATCTCTGGTCAACTAGAAGAGTGTTTGATAGTTCATTTTCCATCATTCAGAGCTACCAATAGATAAAATTGGGTCTATGTGGACAACACCTGCAGCTTTTGTTCTGTTGTGATGTTATGCACTTGTTCTGAGGTTATGTAAGTTTGGAATAACAGAATAATATTATGGGAGTTTTAGTGGAAGCCATAACCAGGAATCAGAATTGAGAACAAGCCAGGAGACTATTGCTACCTGGGCAAAGTACTAGCCTGCACAGGAAGCCCTTATACACTTCTATAGTCAATAGCAAGCCTGGGTGAATAATATACATATCTCAGATACTTAGGATTCTCCATTACTTGGAGCATGCCTAGGAAGAGGCTCCAATCTGTGGTCCTGGTAAGGGCAACTGAATGCAGAGATGTGGGCTCCCAGTTCTGGCCTGGGCACCTCCTGAAAGAGCTCATCACCTGCCCACACCCAATATACTTGTCTGCACTCATGCCTGACAACTCAAACCCTTGCTCTCTAGTTACTGAGTTAAAAAACTCAAGACCAAAGGAGCTGACGTTTGTGCTACAGCTAGGTTTAACAAATGAGGCCCTGCTCCACAAAACAGCTACCTCTGCCTGTTCTAAATGAATCACGGTTAATTACTTTGCTCTACATTCAGGGACCGTGTGTTTCTCATTTGTCTATGTCAGTCTTCAAATGCTTTACACTACGTAGAGAAAACGCAGCTCATCAATTCTGAAGTTCCCCCCAAGGGTTTCCCTGAAGGCAGCACAAGGAGCTCAACTTGCAAGTCCGGGTTAAATTTGCCACGATTAGGCTAACAATGGATGGTTCGTCCTACTGTTCCATCACATTTCCAAGGTAGTGAGAAAGTAGCTATAGTGGGTCTTTATGTTCTGCTACCCACTTTTCAAGGTGGGGGATACCAATTTAAGGAAATAAAAGGGCAACAGGTGCAGGTTGTTATTATGATTAACTATTGTGCTTATTATGACACCCAGCTCTACCTCTCTTTTAAATCAGAACCAGTGAAGGTCATGTGTGAGTGCCTGGAGGCGGTTGGAGGATGGATGGCGGCTAACAGATTGAGGTTGAATGCTGACAAGACAGAAGTACTGTTTTTGGGGGATAGGGGGCGGGCGGGTGTGGGGGATTCCCTGCTCCTGAATGGGGTAACTGTGCCCCTGAAGGACCAGGTGCGCAGCCTGGGAGTCATACTGGACTCACAGCTGTCCATGGAGGCACAGGTTAAATCCGTGTCCAGGGCAGCTGTGTACCAGCTCCATCTGGTACGCAGGCTGAGACCCTACCTGCCTGCGGACTGTCTTGCCAGAGTGGTGCATGCTCTAGTTATCTCCCGCTTGGACTACTGCAATGCGCTCTATGTGGGGCTACCTTTGAAGGTGACCCGGAAACTGCAATTAATCCAGAATGCGGCAGCTAGACTGGTGACTGGGAGTGGCCGCCGGGACCACATAACACCGGCCCTGAGAGATCTGCATTGGCTCCCAGTATATTTCCAAGCACAAAACAAAGTGTTGGTGCTGACCTTTAAAGCCCTAAACGGCCTCGGTCCTGTATACCTGAAGGAGCGTCTCCACCCTCATGGTTCAACCCGGACACTGAGATCCAGCACTGAGGGCCTTCTGACGGTTCCCTCATTGCGAGAAGTGAGGTTACAGGGAACCAGACAGAGGGCCTTCTCAGTAGTGGCGCCCACCCTGTGGAACGCCCTCCCTTCAGATGTGAAGGAAATAAGCAGCTATCTTCTCTTTAAAAGACATCTGAAGGCAGCCCTGTTTAGGGAAGTTTTTATTATTTAATGCTGTATTGTTTTTAACACTTGATTGGAAGCCGCCCAGAGTGGCTGGGGAAACTCAGCCAGATGGGCGGGGTATAAATAAATAAATAAATAAATATTATTATTATTATTATTATTATTATCATCACCACACAAAGTGTTTCATAGGCATTATACTGAATAATAGAATTGCAGAGTTGGAAGAGAACATGAGGATCATCTAATATCCAACCTCCTGCAGTGCAGGAATATTTCACCCAAAGTGGGGCTCAAACCCACGACCCTGAGATTAAGAGTCTCACAGCTCTATCAACTGAGCTATCCCTTATTTATCCCAGTCATAATCCTTTGAGGCTAGTCTTAAGGACATCAAAAAAGCTTTAGGGCAGCATTTTCCAACCAGGTGCCTTCCAGATGTTTGGAACTATAACTCCCACCAACACCAGCCAGCGCATGCAGGTTGAGGCTGATAGGAGTTTTAGACCAAAACATCTGGAAGGCACCAGGTTGGGAAAGGTGGCTTTAGGATAAGCAAGAATTCAAGAGTGACTCATACACATCTGAGCCCAGGAGCACACTCACTGAGTCACATGTTGGAAGCACTTCACTTGTGTCCTTGCTAACTCACGGCCACTTTATTTATATTTATTTATTGGATTTACAAAGATGTTTACCCTGCCATGTGGGAATCCTTTGCAGATGACTACAGTGCCTGGAGACAGATAGTCAGGTTGTACATCTACAGCAGTGACCAGAGTAGGAATGACCACAGGGACAGAATGTTCAACCATCAAATGGCTGGGTAAACAGGAAATTTGCCTCATTAGGGAGGGCATCACATGAGTGGGAGACTACCACCAAGAAGGCTCCGTCACAGGTCACCACCAACCGGGCAACCCCCAGCAACCACATGGCCTTTAGAGCTTCAACCCTGAAGCTTCGCATGTGAAACTGACAAATTAGACAACTGAGCAATATGGGCAGAATTGGTGAACAACACTGGGGAACAAGCAACCAACCGCACACAGGAAACTGCCTTTTACACAGTCAAACCACTGGTCCATCTAGGTCAGCACCGTCTACTCTGACTGGGAGTGCTTCTCTAGGACTTCAGACAAGGGTCTTTCCCCAGCTGTACCTAGAGATGCTGGGGACATGAACCTAAGATTCTCTCTCATGCAAACCATGTGCTCCACCACTAGTGCTTTATTTTTGGGAGAAGAAAAAGGCTAAGGAGGAAACCTTACACAAATCTGGAGTGGAGTCCCTGTGCCTTCTATACCTCCCTCCTGCAAGCCAAGCTGGTTCCAAATGTATTGCTCTGCTTTCCTTTGGACCAGGCTCACCCCCCCAGGAGGTCACTTTGCTAATGCAGCAAAAACAACACGGGAGGCAGCAGCTACAAGCTACCAGTCTGCAGCCACAGCAGGCGCTGTGATTCTCCAGCCATCTGACTTCACCCCCCGAGGTGCACTCTATCGTCTCTCAAGACAGACGGATACCAAAAACCACAACCACCGAGTGATGACGTTTTGTGGTGAGACATTGCCCTACGAATCACAATTCTGGAGGAAAGTGCTAACAGGTTTTTGAATTTGCAGTTTATTTATTTGTTAACATTCTTATATTACATCGGTAAATGTTGTCATATTACATTACAGGACTTACTATAATATAATTTCCAACATGTATACAAAAATTATATACAAATTTTATATACCTAGAATGAAAATGAAACAAACAAACAAAAAGAACAAAGAGAAAAAACAAAAACAAATCTCCCCCCAAATCATATACATACCAACACACTAGACTTCCTGTCTTTCCCGTTGTATATTCCATTTTTACAAATGAATGTACTCTTATTATTGTTTATTTCTTTACATATTATCTAATACATTCCTATATCAATATGTGCTCCTAGTCTTATTTCTTAACTCAGTCTCACTCCAACGTCAATCAAATGCTAGCACAGATAGCGAACCTTTACTGTATTTTTGAACATATGTTTTATATCTATCCCACTTTTCCATAAATTTTTGTTTTGAATCAGGGTATTTGTTAACTGCAACATTTCAACAAATTCTTGTAGCTTGTAATGCCAGTCCGTTATTGTCGGGGCTTCTTGTTCCTTCCACCCCTTTGCCACCAAAGTCCGAGCTGCAGCCGTTGCATATAAGAATACCTCCCTAAAGGCCAACAATGCTTAACAGGTTTGTAATTTTTCCTAGCTTAGGTAGCACAAATTCCAAGGGAGGGGGATGAAGTTTGAACCAGCTCCAAAGACGGGGGTCCTAGAGAACCTTATCATCCACATGAGTAATCACAAGAAAAGTTTTCCAGGTGCAGCTAGTTTGATGTAACACAGAGAGACACGGAACACTGTGTTCTCAACTCGCTGAACACTCCCACTACGCTACCCACGTTTGGGAACATGATCATCACCAAGACAAAACTTCATGAAACCATTAGTCTGAGACCTTGACCAAGCAAACCAAACAGAACAGAACCTGAGATTCCAAAGCCCAGCCCAAGAAGACAGCAGCGGCAGGAGCAATCTTGCTGCACCCCCAAATTTTGTTTTATCAAGGCACCAGTTCCTTCCCAAACCCAGCTGGAAAGAACGAGGCGTCAGTGGCCAGCTGGTGCTCTGTTCTCCTCAGGTAGGCAGGAAGGTTCCCAAGGGTTCAGCACTTTGTGACACCCGCACAAAAAGTTAGCCTCTGGCAACTGAAACAAAGTGATGAGTGCTACCTGGAGCAGGATGCATGCTACCTGGCCAACATTCTGGGGCAATGGGAGGTGGAATCTCAACAGCAGCTATGGACCACCCAAGGTTGGGGGTGGCTTCCTTAGGCAGAATAGGCAACATTGCCAAAAAATGATTGAGGGTTTTGTACAAATGCGCTCATAGTGAGCGTGTGAACTCGACCCACACACCACGGATTTGTTGACACCAGACTTCAGGGTGAGGTGGTTAAATGGGAAAAAATGTTGGTTCGATGTGAATGATTCTTGAATGATTAAAGAACAAACAAAGCAATACTCTGACCCACTAATTAGCAAATAAGCAAAACCTCAACCATCACCTGGTCTAAAAATCATTCACATTGAACCAACAATTTTGAATTGTATTGTCAATGTTTGGTTGTTGTTGTTAAAATTTGTATACCATCCTTCATCTGTAGATCTCACGGAGTTTCAAAAAAAATAAAAATATAGAAACACAACATACATAATAAAAACAAGAAGAACCCCCCCCCCCACACACACTCCAACAACCCCAGTGTGGTGTAGTGGTTAAGAGCAGTAGACTTGTAATCTGGTGAACCGGGTTCGCGTCTCCGCTCCTCCACATGCAGCTGCTGGGTGACCTTGGGCCAGTCACACTTCTCTGAAGTCTCTCAGCCCCACTCACCTCACAGAGTGTTTGTTGTGGGGGAGGAAGGGAAAGGAGATTGTTAGCCACTTTGAGACTCCTTTGGGTAGTGATAAAGCGGGCTATCAAATCCAAACTACTCTTCTTCCTCTTCTTCCTCTTCTTCTTCTTCTTCTTCTTCTTCTTCTTCCCCCACCTATTTATATGGCTGGCATTTCCCCCACATGGATGTTATGATGTATGAAATATTAATGTATTATATGATTCCCCTTCTTTTTCCACTATGGTATAATTTATTATTTTTGTCACCTTTGGGTGACAAGTGACCAAGTTTAATAATAATAGTAATAAATAATTTCAAGCTACGCAAGGTTGCACTTTGGATGCTATTGAGCACACCTGTTATCTCTTGGAGACAAGGAAGAAGTGGTAACTTTTAACCATAGCTCAATTTTCTTATAAGTGCAGAAGCTTCTGTTGCTTTTTCCTGCAAGCTGAAAGTCAGAATCTGGATGCCTATGTTCACAGAGCCGTCTTTCCTAGCCAGTGATTGCAATGAATGGGAGCAATGAGGGAAGAGTAAACAGTTAGATAAAGTAAAGGTTAATGTTCAAAAAGGGAGCACTGCTCCAAGCCAAAGATACCACAGAGCAGGAAGAGGAAGCTTTTATGTGTATATGTGGTTTATTTATACATATTCCCTTTTAAACTAACAATCAGACCTTTTGCAGCAATAAAATATCTCCCACATTTGTCAAGTTGAGTTAAACACACACACACACCAAAGCGTCGTTATGAAGCTAATGCCTGCATTTTATTATGATTAGTTGCATTACGGTGAGACTTTGAAGCTATTAATGGGTATTAGAGTGGAATAATTAGAACTTAGAGTCATCAAATCTGGGCTTACTTCTCCATGCTCTCTTCAAAATCAATATGCACACCTCAAACAGAGTGAGCTTTTATATCTGGCCAGGATATTATACCAGCAATGGTGTAACCGAATCTAAAGGCTGACACATAATCTTGCAGTGTATGAGTTTACATCACAGTATACAAGGACAGTAGGTAATTAATTGGCTTTGCTTACAGAGCCACTGCTTTGCACCTGGTAGATCATAGGCAGATCTCCCAAGTCTGAAATATCCCATACCTGGATTAGATTATAGGATTACAGTGGTACCTCGGGTTACATACGCTTCAGGTTATATATGCTTCAGGTTACAGACTCCGCTAACCCAGAAATAGGTTAAGAACTTTGCTTCAGGATGAGAACAGAAATCGTGCTCCGGCGGCGTGGCAGCAGCAGGAGGCCCCATTAGCTAAAGTGGTGCTTCAGGTTAAGAACAGTTTCAGGTTAAGAACAGACCTCCGGAACGAATTAAGTACATAACCCAAGGTACCACTGTATATTCTTTATCTGCATCCCATCGCCCCAATCTAGTCTTCCCTGCCTTGTCATCTCTCTCATCCCATCCTCAAACAGAAAGCATTAATTCCTCAGTTTCCATCAGAAAAAGATGTCATTAACTGCACCAAGATGGTCACCAGCAACTAGAACCAAAACAGGAGCACTGAAATATCCTGGGAGTGTTATTGTTATTATTTACTAAATTTCTACACCATCCTTTATCTGAGGATCACAAGGCAGGTTACAATATAAAAATGCAAAAATAATACATCACAAACAAAAACAACATCAGCCCTCCCTATAGTTTAAAAGGTTACATATTGTTTACTTAGCCAAAGACCTGCGAGAAGAGTAATGTTTTTAGTTGGTCTCTAAAGATATGCCATGAAGGTGTCAGGCGAGCCTTCCTGGGGAGAGACTTCCACAAACGGGGAGCCAACACAGAAAAGGTCTGCTCTCATCCTCCAAACCTCTTACAAAGCAGACACACAAAGAAAGGCCTCAGATTATGAGCGCAGGGTCCAGGTTGGTACAT